AAATTATCTAGGCTGTGTTATCCCTTTTTTGAATCTGCCACTAGGAGAAAGGGCAGGAAGCAGCATATAGCCTGTCAAAAATACTAAAGATATATTAAAGTATCACCTACTTTGGTAAGTCAGGGAAAAAAGAAAAGAAAATTTTAGGTGTTCATGGAAAGAGATAATCAAATGTATTTGTGTTTCCTATGGTAGCCGCATCATGTCACAAAACAGAGATCAATAGCATCTCTTTAGATGTTAATTTCTACTCCAGTGGCAGTTACCCAGCATCAGCTAAAGATCAGGAATAAAATTTTGAAGACTGCTGTAGTTGTGCCTAGCTCAAAAGCAAAGAAATGCAAGTCAGCCATTGGTATGCAGAGAAAAGAGGAGGAAAAAAAATGCTTAAATGCTGCTAAAACTAATTGGTGGAAATATATTTGTCTGTACTCATTGCTATGTATTCAAGATATCTTATATTTTGGTTAGATTCAAAACGGAAAAGGATTTATAATGCTACTTCAGGCATATGTGAAAGATGAACTGGGTGAATTTCAACAAAATAAAATGTTAAACTTAGCATCAGGAGAAACATTCCAGCTGAGAGAACCACTGGGCTGGAATAATCACCTCAAGTGGCTGGTGACAGACTATTGCCTGAGTAACTCAAAAGTAACAAAAATGAAATCCAGTGGGCATTGGCAAAAGTTTGGTCTAGATAACCTAATAATAGCTATTGTCTTATCTATTTTTTTTCCAAAGCCAGAAGTAGTTTCCAAATTCATTACTTAAAATAGGCTAACGTCACATCTTGTGCTCCTGCATTTAGATCTGCATTGGCCATGCATAATTTGGGGGTTTATTGCATGAACAGGAATAAAATAGTTATGCAAAAGGCATTTGACCCAGCTGGAAATGGTAGGACTTTATTTCTAGGTATGCAGAATACAATCTGATCATGATTGTTTTCCAGGAATCTTAGCACATCTTTATTTATAAAATATCTCAGTAGTGAAGAATAAATCTTACAGAGTCTGGTAGAATCTTTTCACAAAATTAAATGCAGAGTATGGATATTTTTTTCAAGTCTCTATACTTGAGCAAAGGCTGCTGTTTTTGCTACTGAGTTCCAGTTTTAGTAATTCTGTAGAATTCAACTCAATTTTTGGTAAAAAGAACAAATGAGCTGTATTTCCAAAAGAGAACACACATTTGAAAATTATGCACTTATTTTTCTGCTGCTTTCTTGTAAGATCTCAGAAGATCTTCTATTTCTTACACATTTGCTCTTGCTCCCTGATCATCAGGAAAATGTATTCTTCACTTCTCTTCCCAGCTGCAAAAGTCTTCTATATCAGAAATGTCTGCCAATGCCATCATCATCCTTTACCAGCTTTCAGGTGCTGAGCATTGCTCCTTCAACTTCAAAACACAATGGGAAAAACCCCTGTGGAGTGGTTCCCTAGAAGGAGCTACTGCTAGGATCACAGCTTTTTGCCTCTATATTGCTGGAGATGGATGGGGTCAGGACAAAACCTGGAAATGCAGCAATAGGTTTGCAAATCTGTTATGGCCTAAGCAGCTTAGAAGTTGTTTTGACAGGTGTTATTCCATTAGCTGGGGATGCAAATGTTAGTTGGCTGAAAGATAAGGAGGGAATTTTTATCAGTGGAATTTATTCAGAAAAGTCTTCCAGAAGAGTCTATATGGGTAACTTGAGTTATCTTTAATATTTTATAAATCTTTATGCAGGTAACAAGTAAAGAAATTGCAGATGGATATTTTTGACTAGGACTCACCCTGTTTGAAAAGTCCAAAGCTATTTAGAAAACACAAAACTGAGAGTGAACCATATGCAGTACAGCAAGTGGCGTTGCCAGGTACCACTGTCCTCTCAAATGGGAAGTCTTCTGGAATTCTTTGTTGCTATGAGACTAAATATGTCTGTACAGTGTGAGTGCTGAACCAGATTTTGCTCCCACTTCCACTACTGTGCAAGTAGAGTGACTCCGCTGCGGCCAGGGAGAACAATGCCATGTTCTGATGTTTTGTTTATGAAGGGTCTGACCTAAAGGACACAGAAACCCAGGCATACTTGTCTAATTCAGAAGCTCAGAGAAATAAGACTAGTTTAAAATGAGAGAAAGCACCATCTTGCACCTCAAAAGGAGCAAGAACAAGCTCTTGGGGGTTCTGACCCATTGACAATGGATCTTCATGTACTTTTAGTGAAAAAGGAAAGCAGTGAGTAAAATTTTTCAGAGGATTTTTCTCTAAATGTTTTCAGACTAAAAGATACTTATTGCGGACTGTGTAAACTCTGAAGTTTGGCACTTTTAAAATCCTGTGGATTTTGAAGTTACCTGTGGATTTTAAAGCTGGTATGTCGGTGGGGGGGAGGGGGGGCGAGAGAGATTTGTTTGCTTAAGTACAAAATGTGTGAATTTTCTTTAGCTACTTGACACTTTTTTCTTTCACCCAGAAGACAAATAAACAAACAAAACCCAACTTGAACTGTGCCCAAGCATTGCAAATTTCTCAGCAAAGTGTACATTTCAGAATGAAAGATTTACAGTGGAATTCCTGTAGTGTAGCTATGGCATTGCTCTAGCATTGCATTGCTGTAATCTTCAAATATAGTAAATGCAATACATAGGTTTATAGGGATTTGTGTGAAGTTTAAAATTCAAAAGATAGTTGTTTTTAATGTTTCTCTGTGCTGTCTGTGAAAAACAGAAAGGGACAGAGATGAGTTTAAGACACATCATCAACAACATGGGAGATGTTTGCCAAATAAAAATACTGATCTTTTATTAATCTGTCCTTTCAAGCATCTGGAAACCCTTTCCTGCTTTCTTAAAATTAAGCAATTAATTAAATATGAAATATTACAAAAATATCCCCAAACAAACAAAAACCCAAAACAAACAACAAACCAAAAAACCCAAAAGTGCAATCCACATCATAAATGCAGATGTAACCCAAGGTGCTATGAAAACAAAGCTCTCAGCATGCAAGTATTCCCTTACTTGGCTTAAATCTCCAAAACCATAGGTGTCTATCCCGGAGAAACCGGGATAGCTCACTGGCCGTCGGTGCGTTACCGTCGTTGTGATTGTTGTGCAGTGAGCCTACAGCCAGCCCGAGCAGCCCCGCAAGTTCCAGCGTGTGGCGGAGGACACGGCAGGAGGACCCTGCGCTGTGCCGGCCGTAGCACCGTCCGGCCCGCCGAGGCCGCTGGGTGCTCTGGCCGCCAGCCCTCGGCCCGCAGCTCCGGGGGGCTGCGAACCGCACCTGCCCTGCCCCACCTCCGCTGCTGGAGCCGCTCTCCCCGCGCTCCGCGGCCGCCGCTCGCTCCGCGCTCCGCCCCGCGGGGCAGCGCCGGCCGCGCTGCGGGACACGCACGCACCGCGGATCTTGCGCGGCGCAGCGGCGGCGTTTGAACACGAGAGGCGCGGAGCCTGCGCGGGCAGAGGGCACCCGGAGGGAGCCCGGTTCGGGCAGCCCCCATGTACAGCCGGCAGCACTTCGGTGTGCGGCTGTTAACCCTGCCCTGCCCCGCACTGCCGAGCCGCCGCCGGCCGCCTGTGCGCACCGAGCTCGGTGCCCTGACCGGGCAGCCCCAGCCGTCGGGGCGGCCCCCGGGTGCGGAGCGCCCCACCGCGCCTGCTCCTGGCCGCGGCTACACCACGTCCCGCAACGGCGGGGCCGAGCGCGCAGTCCCGGCGGAGCGGCCCCGCATCGCAGCACCGCCCCGGCCTTCCCGCCCCCCCGCTCTACGGCAGCCGGTGGCCGCGGCAGGCTCCTTCCCCTGAGTGGGAGGGCGGCAGCAAAATCACAGCCTTGGTGTTCCGGGTTTTTGGTTTGGTTTTTTTTTGTGGGCTGTGGGTTTTTTTGGTTGGTTTTTTTTTTTTTTTCTTTTTTTCTCACTCTGATTTATTATGCAGGCTCCTTCCCCTGAGTGGGAGGGCGGCAGCAAAATCACAGCCTTGGTGTTCCGGGTTTTTGGTTTGGTTTTTTTTTGTGGGCTGTGGGTTTTTTTGGTTGGTTTTTTTTTTTTTTTTCCTCACTCTGATTTATTAGATTCTTTCATTTGCGCTCCTGTTTTCCGCGGGGATTGCTGCAGCGAAGGCATCAACCTGTAGACTGAGAGAGCCCGCCGTAGCCCGGCGCGGCTGCTCGGAGGGCGCGTTGCGGTGCCACCGCCGGGGCGCGGCCCCGGGACGGGGTCGACCTCGCGGACAGACGGCGGGCGAGGGAGCGGGGCCAGCCACGGAGCCTGGGGGACCTCTCGGGGCCAGGAGACGAGGAGCCCCGGCGGCGGAGGTGCGAGCCCAAAGGCAGGCAGACCAGCTATCTGTGCGAGAGCCCCCGAGCGGCCCCGCGTTTGCCAGGGACGGCGGGCTGAACTGACTTCCCTCCCGCCCCTCGCACCCGCACTGGAGAGCATCTCCCAGCCGGGGGAGGAGGAAGGGGGTGCAACAAATTGCCGCCAGCCGGGAGAAGTTGCAGTAAAGAGAGATCCCTCCCTCCCGCTCCCTCCCCTCCCCGCTCGCTCTCTCCTCCCCGAGCCGTGGCAGCGAGCAGCGGAGCAGCGGCCCGACGAGCGAGCGGCACCCGCAGCCCGGCGATGCTGCAGCGGCTCCCGCGGAGCCTCGGCGGGGAGGGCCCGGCCCCTGCGCGCCCCGCGCCGGCCGGCGGCGGCGCGCCCT